TTGCAGTGAGCCAAGATCACGCCACTGCACCCCAGCCGAGGTGACAGAGTGAGACGCTGTCTCAAAAAAATAAAAATAAAATGGAGATGTCCACTGGATGCAGTGGTTCAGGCCTGTAATCCCAGCACATTTGGAGGACAAGGTAGGAAGACTGCCCAGAGCTAGGAGTTAGAGACCTGCCTGGGCAACATCATGAGACACTGTCTAAAACAAACAAACAAACAAAAAAACAAACAAGAAATGTTTAAAAATGGAAATGTGTCTTACGCTTGATAGCACATCATGAACCAGTCGGTAGCACTCTTTCTTCCTTAGTGGGGCATAAATAATGGTGCATCTTGCATTCAATGTCATCTTAGATGGGATGAAATACACATTTTGGAATAAATGAATAAATGTATGCTTTCTTTTGGTGCTATTTATTCTGTTTTGATCTTCTTGGTAAGCACAAAGAAATCAGGATTCTTTTTTTTTTTTTTTTTTTTTGAGACAGAGTTTCACTCTGTCACCCAGGCTGGAGTGCAATGGTGTGGTCTCAGCTCACTGTAACCTCCACCTCCCGGGCTCAAGCAATTCTCCTGCCTCAGCCTCCTGAGTAGCTGGGACTACATGCGTGTGCCACCACACCTGGCTAATTTTTGTATTTTTAGTAGAGACGGGGTTTCACTATGTTGGCCAGGCTGGTCTCGAACTCCTGACCTTGTGATCCACCCACCTCAGCCTCCCAGAGTGCTGGGATTACAGGTGTGAGCCACCGCACCTGGCCAAGGATTCATTTAGTAACTGTCTACTATGTGCTGGGAATTCTTTTGGGAACAGAGACAGCAGACTAACAGAAGTGAATGACGTAGTTCTTGCCCTCAAGGACAAGAAAACTAGCAATTACAGTGCAACATGCTAAGTGCTATAATAAAGGAATGCTTTGGGACAGAGCCCAGAGAAGGGATCTCATTCAGCCTGTGCAGATCCTGGAAGGCTTCCCAAGGGATGGGGTAACCGACCTGAGACTTATGACATATTTGTGGGGCACTTTGTGCTGCTGTCATATATGTGGTTTCTTTTGATCTTCACATCACCTCTGTGAGGTAGGAAAACCGTCCTGTCTTAGAAATGCAAAGACTGAAGTTCAGAGAAGTTAAATAAATTGTCCCCAAACCTCTTTAATGGTAAGTGGCAGGGAGGGGTGGGGGGGCTGAGGGAGGTAAACTCAGGTTTCCTGGCTCCAGGATCACTCACTTTTTATCTCATTTGGGCTGAATCTCAAGTGCTGAACTGCTCTGCACTGTCTTTATAAAAATCATTCATAGGTGTGAACACTTTTATCCTTCAGTCTTCTCTTCCTGAGGCTTGCAATGGCAGGCTCTCGGATCTTTCCTTCAATCTGTATGGGGTTTTGAACCAAGCAAGAAAAACCAGACACAGTCCCTATTCTTGAGGAGCCCCCAGTCTGAAAACAAGTCGCAGATACACAGAAAAAACATTCTTGTGTGTGCGATGGATGGTAGGAAACGTGTCAGCAATTGTGACATTTATGGCATTTATTTGCCTTTACTAGTGAGTTCTGCTTTTTAAAATGTTTGCAACTTCTCAGGCCTCACCCTCGAAAGAATTTGAAAATTGAACACAAGCAGAGATGTTTTATTTTCAACTCAGGACCTCACCCAGAGCTTTTCAGGCAGCAGCCCTGAACCAAGCTGGCTTCGAGGTATTCGTGAGTTTCTATACCCAGAAGACTCTTTCAGCTTCTACCTTCTACCCATGAAAGGAGGTGGCATGGATGATTCCTTTGATCATCCATCACATCTTTGCCGAGGACACATAAGCCTGTGCATGGCTCTGAGGACACAGTGGAGAGCCATGTAAATAGCTTTTGCCTTCAAGGTGCCTGGCAGAAGCGAATGAATATTGCTGTCATGTACATGCAACCGTCGTGAAATGCTTCAATGTTCCACACCTTCTTTGGAGACCTTTAAGAAATTCACGGAGCTTTCAGCAGTGATATTTACCACCAACAATGTAATCCAATGGGGCAGCAAGCAAAATGAGCTACTATTAATGCACCATGGAGCAGAGGAATTTTCTCTTGCGCTGACACCACAACAGACCCATTCTTTCATTTGGATTAGTATTCACTAGTTGTGCTTAGTTGCTTGCAGTGGATATCCAATTTGTGAAGTGAGCTGAGGTATAATGCAGTATTGTATACTGGAACACAGGGACTGCAAATGTTTTTAAAAAGCAGAAGTCACTAATAAAGTCAAATGCCATGAACGTCACAATTGATGAAAACTGGCCATTAGAAAAATCTAGATATGATAAAATTGTTAAATTGATGAGTATGAAGATTGGATTATAATATATATTCAGCATGCAAAAACAGATAATGAGGGGAAATGCAGTGACAGTCAAAGCAACTATGGAAACAATATCCATGGCAACAAATGGCCTAGTCGGAAGAGAGGCCCCAGGACTGCCTGTGTCTTCCTGATGAAATGTCTGGTAAGCCCCCTAGTGGCAATGACTGGGTAGTGGCCCTCTGCGAGATGGGCGCCTCTCAGGAGATTGAGTGCCGCTTCCAAGGGCCTGGAGAAGTTGACTTGTGGTGCATCCCATGGGGTCACCCCCTCCTCCCCTTTCCTTGCCCTCACTGGCATGAGACACAACATATATCCACAAACAACTGCCGTTCCTCATTGCATCTAAGGCTCCGTTGCTGGAAAACATACCGCTATTTCATGGAAAACATACTATTACTTCATGCCTCACTAAGAGAAAAACACAGCGAATTAAACTATGACATGCCATTGATTGTAAGATGCATCCCTATTCGAGAGATGATAAATGTGAAAATAAATATAAGTCTTATAATCTATAAAATATAAATGACTTTCTACTGGGTGAGGTGGCTCACGCCTATAATCCCAGCACTTTGGGAGGCCGAGGCAAGTGGACTGCTTGAGCTCAGGAGTTGGATACCAGCCTGGGTAACATAGCGAGACCCTGTCTGTATTTATACACACACACACACACACACACACAAGTGACTTTCAGTGATTCACTTAACATTTCCAGATGCATGTTCCCTCACTTATAAACAACTATACCATTAATTAATTAATTCACTCATTCTACTCATATTTATTAAGTGCAGATTATTGGACAAGCACACTGACGTCAACACTGAGGATACAGCAGTGAGCTGGTGTCCTGCCTTTAGGGGGCTTTTGTTACGGTGACTTGGTTTCTGATTATCTTTGTCACACTGCATCTGTGAGTCAGTGATTCTGTGACCCTAAGTGAGTTTCAGAGTGAAAACAGACACCAGATAAGAAGCAGAAAACTTGGGTTCTAGTCTTGTTCTTCCCCTTAATAGTTTATTTAATCTGTCTCAACCTTATTTTAT